CCTTGTGATTTAGTTCAACAACACTGAACTTTTTTTTCTTTCCACATGTGCGAACTAGCTGGTACCAGTCGTATGGCGTAGAAATTGGCATTTGCAAAGTTTTTTTTTGCTTTTCAATCATCCCGTGGTCAACATCGCATTCAAGATGACTGTGACCACTCACCATGAATTTATGATCTATGCATTGCAGTTGAGGACATTTTTGCATTAGAGTTAAAAACATTGCTGAAACATGAGAGTTCCTGTTTTGTCCTCCGCACGAATCAGAATACAAAATGACGTTTTTAATTGATATTGGGAGAGAAGAAAGTTCTTGATAGAGGCACGTCGCAATTTGGTTAGCACCTCTGCCACCTTCCGCCTCATGCCACATGTAGCACTTAACTGCCCCACTACTTGTATTATGCATAGTAAGGTTAAAAGTCCACAACTGCCTCTTGTAGAAGGCTACTGACGTATTAAGGTAAGGTGTAGGCAAACATTGCTGTAGATCAAACGCAAAGCAAATTTTCTCATCTTTGTTTAGCTTAGCATCTACTTTGTCTTCCTTTTTCATGTCATACGCTAAATCTGCTTCGTCTAGGTGCATTTTTCGTTCATTTTCCACAATCTTACGTTCATGTTCATTTTGAGCAATTTTTATCTTCATCAAGAGAGTGTCACATTTGTGACAAGTATCTACTTTTGGTTTTTTGAAGGAAATATTTTGCTTATGGAATTCACGTTCATATATTGCTCTAGAAGCAGGGTTGTGGACATTTTTCTGGTACAGCGAGTACATAATTGCTAAATTTAAATAGGGTGGTAGATATTTTTTCACGCTTTTCTTTCTTGAGTAATGTGACTCGTATGCTGGAAATGATTTTATGTGATCTTGAATATGTTTAATTCTCACATCTGAAATTTTTGATGGTGGAGGTTCTTTGCCTCTTTGATCACATTTTGATATGCCTGATGTTGACTTGAGAGATGAAGAAATGGCAAGTGTCACGAACATATTAGTTTCACCTAGTACCTTCATAAAACAACCGCGACATACTTTGCTTTTTGTACCATTTATTTTAAAGAAAAAGTTATGTGTCCACTGCCTAAACTTTTCTTTATTTGGATCATCTGTTCGTTTACGCATAGTTTTAGGTTCAATACTTTCAACCATGTTTGACACAAAATTTGCCCTTTTATCACGGCTACCAAGACTCCAGTACTCCTTGAAAATTTTTTTTTGTATCTCGATGGAGAGTTTCTCTTTGCAGTTTGCTCGACAACTGCCCAAAGCTGTCATTACTCTGGCAGGTTTTTCTTTACCATCCAGTGTTACATACCTCTGGCCAGCATTTCGTTGCTGAAATTTCTCAATTCTTCTCTTTTTTGAATACTTAGCTGGTTTACCAGCAGCTATTGAGGTGCTAATATTATTACATTGAGTTGACTCTCGTTGTGCTTTTCGCTTCTTCTGTGCTCCTTGAGTGTGGAGAAAAACTTCTATATCTTCCTCAGACGCAGAATTATTATCCATTTGGTAATGATTTATTGGCTCCCCACTTATTACTTCATTTTCACCTGCTAACAAAAAATAAGTTACTTATTAAAGGAAGGGACCATTCTTGCTTATAAACATACTACTCATGAAATTCTAATTTTACCTTCTAAAAATTCATGGACAACATTCTCTATTTCTTGTATGGTGCCCTCAATGTCATCGGAATTAGGTTCTTGCATCGTTTCAAAACCAATCGTTTGGTCAGGAGCATTTCGGTTAATATCAATTAATTCTCCATTATCTGTATTTTGTTGTGTGGTAGCTTCAGTAAGCTCACATGTACTTGTTGTCAAGGGTTCAATTTGATTTACAATGCCTAAAAAGCACATATGTCTATAAGTAAAAAGTATTAGGTATTTATCTACAGATACCTATACGAATGGGAGTTCTTACCAGTATGGGGATCTATGGTCATCTCAATCCCAATAATTTCTTCCGTAGTTGAATCAATAACATCTTTTTGATTCAATAGTTGATTGAGACTTAGTCTAGGCATTTCGTTATACCCTGCAAGCAGCAAAGAAAATATGTTAAATTGTTGGTGTAATAATTTCATCATTGGTTAGCAACTTTTAAACAAATAAAACAAACTTAACTCACCTAATTTTGTAGATGAAGAATCATCCTTTTGTTCTAATAATTTTAGAATTTGCTTTCCTCTACTCATTTTTAAAAAATATTTATAAGAGGACACTGATACTTTCACAGCAACCTACTTTAAGAACACTTAAATAAAAAAAATACTTAATTATTCATGTTTTTGTTTTAAATGGGATTTAGCTATTTTTATAATTTTCTACTCAGTATTTCGAAAAATTAAGAAACAATTTATAAACAATAACAATAACTACCTTCTTAAACTTTTGACAGAACGAAAGTTATAAACAGGTTTGCCAAGTTTACAACTACTACCGAACTCTGCACACTCATAACCTCGAAATTTCCTTTTCGCACCACTTTTAAATTTGTTAATTCATTGAAATTTTATGCTTAAATTTTGATTATTTACATTTTTTCAATACAAACGCCCTCCCAATGTCTCAAATTTTGTTTTTCCTTTTTATTTTTATAATTTCCTTTTGTACAAAAAGGCTACAATATGGAAAAATTTCCATGATCTGGCATCACTGACTAGAAACACCTAACACGTGGTATAAATACTAGGAGTATAAGTCAAGCTGCATAAGTGAAAACGGAAGGTACTAACAATATAAGTTGACTTATACTCTTAATACAAAGCAGACTTTTGAAATTAGAAGTTATACTGTTGGAATAAAATCAATATTTATATATGAAAAACAGGCTATTGACTTATACTCCTAGTACAGAAATAACTAATAAACATCAAAAATTCAAAATATAGAAGAATCCCAAAACGTCTTTTTTTGACTTATACTCTTAGTACGTAGCACGTTAGAATTAATGAGCAAATATTTTAAGCAGACTCTGGAAGGCTTTTATTCTGTAAGCTATACCTGGAAAAATTCATTGGTAATGATAGTTTTGAACAACTAAAGAAATAATGGACTGACAAAGAATAAGAATTAGCGCTAGATGTCTGAATGTTGGAATTTTAAATAGACCCTACTTTAAAAGATTTTTGACCAGAGAAGAATATTTTTTTATTATTATTATTATTTATTATTTTAAGAAAATTTTTATCTTCTCCTAATAGATTGTCAAATCAAGTTCCTGCTTCTATAGATTGCTGTGTATAAATTTATCACGTTTTCTATATATTACTGTCCATAAATTAATTTCAAAGAAAGAAAAAACATAGCTGTAGTCGTTTGCTGTCTATGCATATACGGTTCTTAGTAATATATCAATTTATAGCAACTTTGAAACTTAACAGTTGTCAGAGAAGTATTAAATTGTTTTAACCTCTATTGTTCACATTTACATGTTCTTTTAATAATTCTGTAGTGATTTTACCAATTATTTTGTCCAATAAAAGATATTCTTATAAACACATAAAAGCGAAAAAAGGTATCAGCTTTGTATTTACAGCAAAGCGGATATTTTAAGAGGTCATTTGTGATTTACTTGTATTTATATATATATATATATATATATATATATATATATATATATATTTTATCACCAATAACAATCTGAGTAAACTTTCTTAAATTTATTTATTATTTCGGTTTTAAGAAAATTGCTGAAAATTGTAAAATTAAATGAAATGTCTCAATGAAAACGCTTCTTGTCACCTCACGGTTTACGGAGTTTGGTAAATTGTGACGGTTTTGATAATGCCTGTTGACGAGTATTTTTCTTTTTGTAGGGTGAAAAAATAACGCGAACTTATGGTTCTATTCAAAATACTTAACTTTAACGAAACTGCTCATGCGATTTACGAAAAAATATATATTTTTTGTATAACATTTGTCCTGTACTAATAAATTCATTATATACAGGGTGAACCAGTTGGGCCTAATCGACTAAAATGTGTTCTTGCGAATAACAATAGTATCTTTTTAGGGTTTAAAACATCTTGATGCATGCTGAAATGTTTCCAATTATGCTTTTATTAGTAAACAATAATTACTAACTCTTATATGATAAGAGGATAATTAGGATAAAAAATGAATATTTAATTAATTTAATATGTCGATCTAAAATGATGTCACAATAACATAAATTTGAACACTATTTGAAATCACTAAGAGTATTTACTTTCTTGCCTTTTATTCATTTTATTTATGCGTTTCTACACTGGGACATTAAAGATCTTTTGTATATATGCATCACTTATGATCAATCCCAAAAGATCTATTTATGTTCTATAAAGACCTGTTTCAAGTGTTTATGGTGTTGGAGAACAATTACCCTGTCTTTCTGGGTAAGATTCTTCTGAAAGATTTGATTAACTACTGTGTTCGATATTTGCCTTGTGTGCCATCAAAGTTCATTTATTCGAACATTCAACCTTATATTGATTTGAAGCTTATTTTTAGCAATTCCTTTATGTTCTACAAAGCTACTTTTCGAAGAATTTAGTGTGTTAAGCTGCCTGAACTTCAGTGAGCATGACTGCCAGAGGAAATCCGATATATTATTCTTGAATATGTTGTATTGGTGATGGCTATTCATTATATTATGATTCAGCTATATTATGATCAGCAATTTGAAATCAAGAATTTGGAATCAAAAATTTCTATTTCATGACCATTAAATGAGATTTATTAATTAGACCCACTACCACTTACGATAGAAACATAAACAGAATAATCAATATGGTTTTAAAGTACTCTCCTGTGGTACTTTATTTGTGTCTGAAAACGTTTTCCGACTTGGAAGTCAAAAAATAATCAAATATTTCCTAAATTGAGGCAAATTAATATATTTATACTGGAAAAAATCTAAGTAAATCACGAATTTGAAGGTCAAAAGCAGTGAGTGGAAGATCACAAGTATGATCAATTGATAAAATATTGTTCAATAGAGGTGCAACATGAACTCATTTAGGGAACTGAAAAGTTCCAAACCAAACAGTACCATCAAAGGAAAACAAGTAGAACTGGTGGCTACATTTAAACATCTCTGGGACATAAAATTAGGATTAGTAGAGAAACATGAATTCAAAAGACGATTATGTCTTAAATGGGCAGCATATTTAATCTAAGAGAAATATTTAAAAGCGACGTACCCATATCCAATATTAACGTGCAGGTACAATGGCAAATGGCCAAGGTACAAACAGTCTATTGGAATGGAGACCATGTGAGGCCATACATAGCTTTAGATGATCACCAATATGATGGACTAACTATTTGAAGAAAATGAATAAAACCTGGATGAGAGCATCGCATGGTAGATGGAGTTGGAGACAAGGAGATAGGCCTATGTTCAGCCAATAATCTATTGTTAGTTATTTGTGACAATAAAATGGAGCGTAAACATTTTTAAAAATAAATTAATATTAAACACTGTCAAAGCTGTTACTTTTGTCCAAATTATAAATAATATCGACATGATTTGTATTACATGCACAAGTAAAAGCACTATTTAGTTGATTAGGCAATGTTGCTATGTTTTTAGGGTTGTGGTAGCAGAAAAAATAGATTAGCGGTTATTATTTAACATTTATATTTGTTTTCATTGTAAAATAACGTATATTTTTTGTAAAACATTGTTTTAGTTGAGGCAGGTATTATAATTCTGTCTAAATATACATCATTCGACTTATTTTGATTCTCATATTGACGTCAATAATACTTTTTTGTCTTAATTGGTATTGGAATTTTAAGTATTGATAAAATAGTAATAATTTACTTATAGTAATGATATATCACCTATATCTGGAGCACCATTTGACGTTATCGGAGTCCCATTGTAATAATCTGTAAATTTGTCATGATTTTGTTGATCCCTTGATTCTGCGTATGATTAGGTGCTCTTTCTTTTCTTCTTTTTTTTTTTGGTGAAGCTCATAAGAAAGTGTCGACAAACATTTGGCTAAATTGGAGTTAACTTTTAACATTACTGTAGGATTTTTTTTCAATCCGCTTCTTAGTTATTGATTGTTTAACTTGTGTTTTTATGATACTGTCATTTATTACTTTAATTAATATGACCAATTAATGACCAATCCTTCTTTCTTTTCTGTTTTTCAAAATTTTAATTCGAATATCTATTTATTTCGTAATGTTGAATAATTGGTAGCCAATAAGAATAGGCTACCAAGTGAAAGGAAAAGATGGAAAGATAATAGATTACACTGGATCAAGTTCATACTTTAGAGAAAAATGTAAGGAGCGATTCAACTGTAGCCTGTTACTATTCAAAAATTACTTTAGACAATAAAGTCCATTATTATAAGATCCTCGTGTTATCGTAAAATGTTAACATTTTTTGCTATACCTGTGTTGAATTTGAATTCAATCTGGGCTTCTTTTAGACCAATAAGCAATTTTATTCTAATCTAAGATTAAGAAATAATAATATTTTAAGGTTAATCCAATAGTGTTCCCTTATTTCATATGTAACATGCAATTTGCTCCCACATTTATCTGAGCACTAAAGTAGCTCCATGAGCTTCGTCATTTGAGTTATCTTGTTAACCTTGTATGGTCGAGTAGTTGAACAGCTTAATATTGATACGGTTATGGGATATTTTTTATATTTTCGAATAAATCTTCTAATTTTTTACTGATTCTTTGAACGGCCAGGTCCCTATGTATGAATTTAATTCTAGCATACCAAAGAGCATTAACAATATTTGTAAGTACTTTATTGTGAAATGTTTTAATAATGTTACTATTACATTGTTTGGTACGTCCCAGCTATGGCCACACTGACTTGGGAGTATGTTTGGATGCCCTCTTTTCATTTTCAGGTGCGCTTTCCAACGAAGCTTTATAATACGACGCAAGTCTACGAAGTTTAACGAAATTGGAGGTACCTCTTTGAACATTTGGTAAAGTTCATGGTTGTACCTGGATCTCCATACTCGCGTTTTCGTTAATAGGTCCAAATATTTTCCTTAGGACTTTTCTTTCAAATACTTCCAACTTTCTTTAGGTACTGTACTTTCTATCATCTTCATGGCTCGCATCCATTGCATACAGTTGATCTGATTTTCGATCTCCAGTGTGTGTTTTTAGAACGAAACACATGGACGAGTGATAAACAAACTTTGGTTTCTTTTACTATTCTTCTTTCAATTTCTGGTTCTTCTGTCAAGGTGTGTTAGCTCAGAACTCATACGATTTAAAATTCATATATCATGAATATAAAAAATGGGGATTACAGGTAAGTATGAAGAAAACAATCAACAGTAACTCAACCTGCCTGTCGAATATGTGAAAGATAGTTGAATATAGGAAGGGCCACCTCCTAACAAATAAATCAATATATATTGCCGCCTACGTCGATGACATCAGCATTAGTTCGCGCAGAAAGGAAGAGGCGACAAAAAAAAACAGGGCAAACAGACAGGAGTAAAAATAAATATTTAAAAGACGAAAAAGCTAACACAAGCAAGAGCTAGAGGAGACAGAAATATTGAAACAGTAAAAGTAGAGTGAAGAAAAGATATTGTTTGCTTTATCTTCCCATTTCACCACTTCGCGTCGCTAAAACGATTTTCCGAAGTTTATTGATCTACAAGAAAAATGCTGTGAAACAGTAAACAAAAATTAGTATCCAAAAAATATGGTTTTAACAGGTGCGGCAGTTTTTTTAGTTATCTGCATTTTTTTGCTACTACTTTTTATTTTTTGCTACTACTTCCCTAAATTGACATTAACAAATGATAAAGTTTATTTTATTTAGTTTAGTTCGTTGTACAGATTAATTTTTAAAGTATTTAACTCATCTAGATCTAAGAAGAATTTATTATATATGTATACAATATTAGTATAACCTGAGTGCAATTTTTTGTACTGTTGTTTTTCCAGTGTTTATAATATTATTTTATTATTTTTGTTTATTATGTGTTTCGTATCATTTATTTTATGCATGTCTGTATAAACACATAGAATTCATCAATAAATTGTTTTATTTTCTCAATTTTTTGTTGTTATTTTTTGTTTTTGTCGGTTCTGGTACGTTTCCTTTTATCCGAAACATCAATTTGGACATTTATTTATTCTTAAAAATTTTAACCGAAATATTTGATTTTAGATATATTGAATTTATTATATTATTAAACAAACTCTTTTGATTTCTAATGTTAAATGATACAATATTTATTATCGCAGTAAAACTTCACAAAATTCATGAGGATCAAAGAAATTGTAGAAATAGAATAAAAAACACAACATGAGGTTTTTGCAGTACTATCTTCTTAAACAATATATAGAGCAATAATAAGACCTACTTCACCTACCTCACTCATTAAGTCCCAGACCTAGCATAAAAAGCGCTACTAATAACAAATGTGTAAAGTGACAACTGTCAAACGTCATATGTCACAAATTAAGTACAATCAATGACGTATAATATATAGACTCGGTGAATGCTTTAAAAAGTGTCCAAAACATGAATACCTTTGTTATTGTTTATTGTTTTGATACGAAGATGCACGAAGTTCATGATTTCTTACGAAGCATCACGAAGTTGATCTTGTGTTTGAAAACATCATGGACGTATGAAAACATTTTCTCCATTGTGTGTGACAAGCAAATTTTATTTTAAATTGTTGAAGTTATTTACTTACTATTTTAGTAAAATGCCATACTATTTTTATCAAAATAATTATTTCTCTTATAGACGGGAACAAATAGAAATCATAAATATTTAATTTTAATTAAAAAAATAATTATTGTCATTAACATATAAATGAGCACGTCGCTGTTTCTGATAAACATACCTTCAACCTTGAGCCGAGATCTTTCGGACACTCGATTCTATAGCGAGAATAGGGGACTGCGTAGTCTATATATTATACGTCATTGAGTACAATCATTACAGATTATAATGGTGTCAGTATCGCCCTTAGTTAACGCCAAATTTTGTCATTTTGCTGAAGAATCGTGTCGTCTAAATTTGAGAGAAAATATAAAAAAAATTCACAAAATGTTTTGGCTGGTCGTAAATTAAGATTATTTTAAATCGCAAGGAAGTTGAAGATATCAGAAGATATTTGATTTAACGTTTGGTATGAACATTTGTCAGTGAAAATTGCCAGAACTCAAACTGAATGTCACATTTGCTCACATTCGATTAAAAACAGCAACACGGCGACGATTTAGATGTTCGCAACTGTTGATAACAACTAACCATGATACTAAGATTAAGAAGATAAGATATTGCGCATAAGTCGTGACGTCATTTGAGAGTTTGACGTTCTAAATGCCAGTTTTTTGTATGTATCAATAAATAATCTTTAATAAATAGTTTGGAGATATTCTTATGTGTACGATTATTGTAATTACTAAACCTCTTAACTTATTTTCGTCTAGTATTTTCATCACAGAATGCATACAAATCCCATTTAACTTTAACAAGAATTCAAATTCTACTCTCCAATGACGGCATGCGCATCATTTAAGTGTTTTTAAATAACGAAACATATAAAATCAGAATTTTGGTGTTTATTGAAGGTAAACTAAATGCACGAACAAATACTTACCATGTCGTGATAGTATTATGAGGTTTTTTTCCTGGTTTTTCTCTTCATAATTTACTATGGAATCACTAACAGGGGAATTTTACTGTCATCATGTCATGTGTTTGTCTGTTTAAAGACGAATTACATGCTATGATTTTTTCTGACGGATATTCTCAAGTTAAAGTTGATTTCATGTAATCGAATGAACTATCTTATAAGTAAAGTCGTCCCAGGAGCACAACTCAACAATATTGGCAATATCATTTTAAAGTCGTCTACTTTAAAATGCATAATGTATGTCTGAATTGTCAATATAAATGAGTCAGATAAAATTAAATTATTAGAAGAATTTTTCACTATGTAACAAAAAACAAAATTTGTTTAATTTACTGTTTGTATTTTGAGAACGATTTCCGAAGTGGAAATTGAAACGTCAATAAACGTATTTTTATCTTTAATTGTGGCTTATTCCCAGTTAAATAGTAGTTAAAATTCAGCTTGTTCGTATCAGTTTTAGGGGTTCAGTGGCATTTTCGTCTCTGACTACTAAAGTTATTCTTGATCCTCGGGATTTTATAATTTTGTTATGGTAATAACCACAACGAGGATGTGGCCCTGTTTGTTCGAACAGTATGCTCATCTTCAGATAACGAACGAAATATAATTGGATGTTATTGTCCTTTGGAATAATCGTTGGTTTTCAAATAGGCCCAAAGATACATTTTTACCTCGTTTAGGAAAAGATATCCACGTTTTAAGGAATAACTTTTAAGGAGTACTTTCTTGTATGGAATACTTTTAACTGGTCTCCTATTGGTAGTAGTACTTTCTTCTATTTCATTGAATAACATAAATGAAAAACATAAATATTAGAAATAAATGTCAGAAACTTCAAAATACGTGTCCCAAATTTACGAAATAAAATTATTATAATATAATCTGAAATCATCTACAAACCAAATTGATGTTTCTGTTCCTTTATTAGTTTTTTTGAGAGCTGTGGATTAAAATATTAGAGGTAAATATATTTTTTTATTTTTTGGTTTGCTGCTTTGCTTGTTTTACCTAACCTGCCTTAACGTAGCTAACAATGTATGTACTAAATTATTTAACTTCTAACACTACTCACTATCTTGACCTAACAATAAATTAAAATTAACTATATATTAAAGAAATTGTGCAGTACTTAAATTTTCTAATTTCACTTTATACAGGGTGGTCCTTAAGTAATTGTACAAAAAGAAACCGTAGATTCTACACTTTAAAATATTACGATTTAAGTCAAGTTGCTTTAATAAAATGTTGATATTAAGAAAGATACAGGGTGTTAAAGTGGAAATTTAAAATTTTATTTTTCGCTATAACTTTTATGTTTGTCAACATTTATGTATAAAAATTTACAACTGGGTACTATTAAATATCAGAAATTAAAATTTGATGTATACTTTTATGTAGGCTGATAGAGGGCGCCACATATGCCACATAAGTGGCATACATTTGCACGTAACTTTTTTGCTCTTTAAGTTACGGATATTTTTATTAAAAAATATTAAAGATAAGTTATTTTAACAAAAAAAAAGGTATACTTGTTAATACCTTCAAAACTTAACAGTTTTCGAGATAATCGCAATTTAGAAATCAACTACATAATTCTGATTTATCGCAATTATTCCAGTCAACGAAAGAAAATTAAA